GTTTGTACCCAATCTCTATCAATTAGAAGACTTGAGAGGGGAGAGGAGAGGTAAAATTTTCGACTCTAATACTCTTAGTGGGAGGGATGAAAATATAAGACCCTTAAGGGATATTTATAGGTGATTAAGGTATCCAAAGGTAACTCTAATTTGAATATTATAATAATATATCAAATAAAGGAGGTTTTCTTTTACCCTTTCCTTACCCTCGAAGACTTTCTTGAAGCCCCCAGAGAGCTCCCACAAAAACTTCATTTCCAAGGAGGTTCTGGAAGTTTATTTTGCTCAACTTTTGAACATTATCACATTTAGTTCCTGCACTTTTAATTAATTCAGTTAATCTCAAAATTAATCCTAATTAATTTCTTATTAATTACCAATTAAAAAATACGATTTCTAATTAATATATTAATCTCATAATATATTAACAAATCATTTAATGATATTTATTAATCTTATAATAAATCATTAAATCAACATCTCTCTCCAAAAATCATTCTAGTCAATTGCTAGTTCTAAGGGTAACCCAAAAAAGTTTTTGCTTTTAATTCAAGCATATACCAATTTAGTTATTGGTTTAGACACCTAATCCAAAAAGGACTTTGCTTTTTTACTGTTGATATATATATATATATATATATATATATATATATATATATATATCATTTGGGTCTTTGTAAACAAGAGATTACAACAAAACAAAAATGGTAAAATGTATATTTTACTACAAGAGGACATGAAGAAGAGATTCTTTGGGGAAAAAAATGATGATTTAGAGCAAATGAAATGAACTCCTTGCTGTTTATAGGAAACTTCATCTATTTACGGAAAGTTTTATAGAGTTTGATACGAATTATTATTCTATAATCATTTATTTGAAATGTTCCTAAAATTTGTATAATCATTTATTCGAAAACGTTATAATATCAAAAACGTTATGTTTTGGGCCTTAGTTGGATATGGGCATTAAGCAGATGTTGAATATAATAGTGGCCTTCGACCTCTAGCTGATAGAGTAATGGGTGGTATTAGGATGTGTTTTGGGCCAGAACAGATCCTAAGCGGACTCGACCCAAATAACCTGAAACCCGAATTGAATGAAAGTTGGAAGCGTAACCCGAGGGAGAACGCGTTTAAATGAAGCGCGCGAGTACGCGCAACGTACTCCTTGTACGCCCAATGTACTCGCCCAACATAAAAGCCCAAAAATAACAACAATTAAAGTTGAAATAAGAACCTCTAATGTTTAAGAACCCTAAGAACCTTTAATTTTTAACTTAACATCAAAATACAAACCTAAGAGTACAAAATAATATCTGATCATTTTTCTTACATCCAAACACTCTCACTAGCCTTTAAGAGCTCAAACACAAACCCTCCATCTATCATCACCAACTACCACCTTTCCGCCACCCATCGGCACCGCCACCATACACCGTCGCTGCCGCCGTAGACTATCGTCGCTTCCAGCCATCGTCACCGTCATAGTCCGACACCATCTTTTTATCTTCATTTTTTTGGTGTGTTTGATGCATTTCAAGTGTAGATATGCATCTGGTGTGTTTGATGCATTTCAAGTGTAGATCTCGAGTTTGTGGTTTATTTTCTGGTGTCCAACAATGGTTCCACCACCACATCAGATCTACTCCACCAGTTCCTCATCCTCTGACCTGTTATGCTAAATCTACGAGCTCTAACGAATGGTGAGATCTACGATTTTTGTCACCACTGATGTTCAGATTTGTGAGCTCCGATTACACATCTTCATCTTGCCTCTATCTTTTTTTTTCTCTCTCGATCTCCATGACAGACCACATCTATTCAGATTTGGTCCACCACCTCCTCTACCAACCGTCGATGTATGTTGTCAACCTCTAAAATCCTTTGTTTTCATCATATTTGAATTGGTTCAGTCCAGATCTACAATCTACGACATTATATCTATGATCTCCAACGATAGATCTATGATTTTCGCTTATGGGTCTATGATATATGCCTCCAGGTCTACGAGCTCCGATGAAATTGATGGACCAGAACTGAGATCAACGTCAACCGCCACCACAACTGATGCCTTATCGCTCCGATGAAGCACCACAAACTCACCTCTATCTTTTTCTCCTTGGTCTTTAGTGAAACAACATCATATTTGCATCAAGTATGCCAATTTTTTATTTGATTGTTTTTTCTTATGTTAAACTGTGAATTTGATGTTATAATTCCTCTTCTGTTATTTAATATTGTTAATATTTGTTTTAACTGCTATTAAGTTGTGAATTCATTGTTATTAAGTTTTAAATTCACTGTTATTAAGTTTTGAATCCAAGTTTGTTTTTTTATTTGTTATAATATTTGCATAAAATAATAAGTTATAAATCCATTGTTAATAAGTTGTGAATGCATGATTTTTTATAAGCATTAAGTTCTGAATGCATGATCTTTTATAAGTTTTATAAGTATTAAGTTCTGAATGAATTTTTTATAAGTTTTAATCAATAAATGCATGAATTTTTATAAGTTTAATATAAATTTAGAATATGATTTTATTACATTATTGTTTTGTCAAATAATATAAATTTATGTTTTTTAAGATGTAAATTGTGATGAGTGTCTGAACTAATATCTAATACAACCTCCAAGTATCTAAACATCACCAGATGTAAGTTTTAACATGTGAATGTATTTTATCAAGCTATGAATTTATGTATTAAAATGTGAATTAAATGTATTAAGTTGTAGATTGATTGTATTAAGTTGTGATTTTTTATGTTTTATGTGTTAAAATATGAATGTTTGTATTAATTTTATTGTTAACATTTTTTGTCGTATATATATGTAAGAATGTATTAGTTTTTATAATTGTTGCATAAAACTCTAAATTAGTTAATTAATAAGTTATTTTAAATTGTAGATATAATATTTAAGTCGACAATACATTATTATGTATTTTATTAAACTGTGAATTTATATATTAAACTGTGAATTAAATGCATTAAGCTATGAATTCGCTATATTAAGTTGTTATTTTTTAATGAAATTTGTATTAAAATATGAGTGTTTGTATTAAATTTCATTTTAGTATTTTTTTTGTGGCATAAATATATAAAAATGTATTGGTTTTTATAATTGTTGCAGTGTTGCACAAAACTCTAAATGAAATTTTAACAACATATATAAAAATATATTGGTTTGTATTAAATTTCTTGTTAGTATTTTTAAAATTGTTACACATTATATGTTTACAAACACTATATATATATATATATATATATATATATATATATATATATATATATATATATATATATATATATATATATATATATATATATATATATATATATATATATATATATATATATATGGAAAAGTGAGTATGAGACTGTAATACGTGTAACCTTATGTGTGAAACCTGCGATACTACGCCGTTTTATGTATACCCGCTGTCTAATTTCTTTGTTCCTTACCGAACCCCAAATTTTCATTTATTATCGATTCTTACTTGTTGCTCTTCTCCATGGATTTATTCGTTGTTGCTACTATTATCACACGACTCTGAATCCTCCGCTTCTTCCTCAAGAACCATATGGGTGGGCACGACTAATTGTAGGCTCGACTACTTCTATCGTCGTCCTATACAACCCACATCCCTTTTTTCATTTTCAATTTGATTTTTTTTTTATTGTCTTCCAATTTGATTTTTATTTTTTTCTAGTGAGTTTTCCCCTAAAGTTGAATGATTTCATCATATCTTTCTTCCTTCCCCTATTCTGATCGTGGGTTTCAAATATTGGAAGACAAGACGTGGGTCCCCAGTCCGTTTCTTTTCCATTTGATTTTGACTTTTATTCTTTCATGTATCAGTGGGCAACTTGTTATTGTCGTTTAACACAGTTGTGGTTCGAATAAATTGCAAATAGTTGCAATAACATGCTAAATTTCTTTTTAATTTATAGAAAGTTGTATTAGATTGAAATTTGTGTACAATGACAACAGGTAAGTGACATTATATATCTCACAAATTCTTGCTAATTGGAATGCTTAATAGGTGTTTGATGGAATGCCTAAATGAAATAAACCTCTAAAAATACACAATGTTAGAAGTTTATTATTTATTTAGGGTGCTTGTAGTTGAAACTATCATTCTTTTAAAAGAAATAAGCTACAAAAATATGAAGACTAAAAGTACACAATAAATATTTCAATATGTTAGCTGTATGTATATGCTCAATTTAAAACTTTGCCTATTTTTATGACAGTCAAAGACGCTTCTTGAGCGGACAAATGGCCTGAAACAAGAACGAGAGACAAAGATTAGACAATGAAAGAATTAGGATGCTTCAAACCATTTGCTAAATTGAGTATTTTTTTTAGTGGGTCATCTTCTAAGTTGAGGTCTTTTCCGTTTGCGCGATTGTGAAAACAAAATTTTACCGATGCTTCTTCTCTAGTAAATTTCCCTGGGTTTTGAATTGTATAAAGTATAAACTCCGAATATTGTATTTAGTTCTGATAAAAAAAGACCTAGGTATTTGTTATGTAAAATTTTATAATATTCTTCCTTGTTAGAGTTGAGATATAAATTCAAATATTCCAGTCTTATAGTTTTATCGATTTTTGAAAGTTTGCTACTACTGAAATTTACTTATTATAATGACGTACTTATAACTTATTACCCGTAATAACAACCTACTTACATTTTTTTTACCCAAAGTAGCAACACATCCCCTGTAAATTGATTCCTTAAATACGATTAAAAGAACAAATAAATACACATCTAAGTCAAATGTAATATTGCGACTTCGAAAGTACCTTTTGTAAGTATATACATTCAAAGAGTGTATTTTAGACATCCTACTGATCAATTAAGTTAATTATGTGTACTGATATGGTGTAATTTTCTTTAAGTATTTACAAAGTCAAAAAATACCAACATATAAGAAACAATCAGATACAATAACTTTAATAATTTAATCTATAGTTACATCAACAAATAAAATATAGAACCGTTAAACGAAATCTCAGGTGCATTCACTCATTAAAAATTCATGTTTCTAAAAGCTTTCAACTTGTTAATATATATCTTAAGTTGCATAAATTAACCAAACAATTATGTAAGCTTTTTCTATAAAAAAAACAAATAATTGTTTATGAGGTAAAGTTATGCATCTCTAACGAGCAGAAACCAAACAGAAGATGCACAAAGGACACATTGATCACAGCAGCAACCAACAACACATGTAGACAAGAAAAAGAAACCATCCACCTGATTACACATATGATCACTGTTTTTCTGCTACAGATTCATCCACCTGATAATAGTTAATATAATGATAATAGTTAATATAAGTATGATAGCAAAAATCATGAAGAATCAAATAAATATTACAATTACCTTTCTTTTTGGACAACCGGTGGCATAATGACCCAGTCGTTGGCAGTAAGAGCATGTTCTCTTTTTCTTCATGTTCTCTAAAGAAGACTTAATTCGAGTTGCATTTTTTGGACGCCCTTTCGTATTTTTCGGAGCAACAGGATCTCGAACAGATAACTGAGGTATCATATCTATTTGAGAAATTCCCCTGTATGGATCTAGAGACACAGTCTCAAATTCTTTAGAATTTTTTCGAATCCTTTGATCTTCTAAAAACTTTATTACAGAACTATTGAATTTTTCTATCTCTGTAGGCGAGTCACTTGCTTGTTCGATTGCTTTGTCACAATTTGAACGAACACACCATAAAGTTAAGGCACTAAGTCCATTTTCACTATTCATTTCATCGAGTCTAATGCTGCTATTACCCACCTTGTACCTTACACTAAGTGTCCACCTTGGTAAAATAAAGGGACTAGGAAGGGTTTCAACATGTCTTTTCTTCATCACGTAGAGGCTATGCTTGCATAATATCCCATATGTTTCATACTTAGCATATGAACACGTGACATTCACATGATCCACAAAATGAAAGCTAACAATTCTCCAATGTCTTTTCTCAATATTAAGTTGCCCAACCCTATATTTTATTTCTTCTGGGGTTTTACTTAAAGTCTCATGGGTTAAATTACAATTAGCTTCTATCCATTCTTTTTTGAAAACCTCAAACATTTTTCTTGTATAAAACTGACCTGCTTTTGCTTCTATCGGATGAACAGAAGAAAGCATCAGACTGGAGTTCATCGTCTTGAAGTCTTCATCTTCTTCGGCAACCCTTCGAGAGTCGACTGCTTTATCATATTGGAGTACAAATTCATTCAACATGGTCTTGGAATTAACAAATCCATCAAAAAATGAATGAATGCTCTCGCTTCTTCCACTTGTAGTCATGCCAGCAAAGAAAACATCTTTTAAGAAGGCTTTGGCCCAATGTGTTCATTGGTTATACATTTCGGCTATCCAACTGTTAGTTTCGATGTTATACTTATCACGTATAATGTCCCAATTTCTTTCAAATTGCTCAATTGTATCACTTTTGACCCATTGTTTATAAGATTCCTAAAATCATTATAACGGGCTACAAGTGGTCGGAGATGTTCCAATTCATGCTTCTTAATGTGCCATGCACAGAAGCGATGTCAAGTGTTTGGGAACACTTGTTTGATTGCATTACCCATAGCTTTATCCTGGTCTGTTATCAATGCCACTGGATACTTGCTAAACATACACTTTAAGAAATGTTCAAATAGCCAACAAAAAGTTTCTTCCTTTTCATTTTCTAGTAATGCACTACCAAACAATATAGACTGACCATGATGATTCACACCAATAAACGGAGCAAATGGTATCTTAAATTTGTTTGTCATGTATGTGACATCAAACACAACGACATCCCCGAACTTAGTATATGCATCTCGTGATCTTCCATCAGCCCAAAAAACATTTCTAGGAGACCCATCATCAAACAAATCCACGGCAAAATATTGGTTACTATCTACTAGTGCTTTATCTTGGAAATGTTTAATCAAACCATAAAACTCTTTACCTTTGTACTGTTTTCGTTGCTCGAATAAAACATCGGTGCATTGCTTTGAGGTAACATCGACATTATATGGAGTTTTCATTACATTGATAGCCTTTTTGATTTGACAAGGCCTTAACCCTGATTGACCAAGTTCCACCATAAGAGACTTGCACGCCATTGAACGGTGGATCTTCCCATGAGAACGATGTTTCATCACTTTGGTAGGTGTAATACTTAACTCATGATTATGCTTGTCATTAAACACATCCACAAACCATTCTCCATCTTTTCCTTTTGAAATCCGAAGCATTGCTTGACATCCTGTTCTCAAATCTCTACGACACTTCTTAGTGCCTCCACATAAAGTATTACCCTTCAAACTTTTAAAGCCTTGTTTATTACATACATATGTCTTCCGATAAGGCTCATTTGTGGTCTTATTTTAAAGCTCCAATGAACACGTATACCGAATCCATGTAGAAAAGCATATTGGTTATAAAATGTATATGCATCCTTAGGTGTATTGAAAACCTTACCCATAATGCTTAGATCCTTAGCTTCATCTTCGTCACATGCAAGATTCACATTGTCATCATTTATTTTCTCAAATTCAAACGTTGGTTCCAAAGAAGAATTTGCATCAATATCTTCAATTGTATGTGTTGTAAACGACTGATTCGCTACTGGGTCTTCTAAATTCATGATCTTAGTTGTTACTGGTATCCGAAAACTAACCATCAAACAGAGGATTTAGTAGGTTAATATGATAAAAAACAAAATTTAATAGTTTTTTTAGCAACATGTTGGTACCTGGTAACTTTGATAATTCAAGAAATTGAAGATGATGAATAGTAAACACAGCTCTACGTAGGTCAATATGAAAAATAAATATATTAGTGATAATAGAATTCGAAGTTGAGAAGGAATTGTAGTGTGCATACAATTGATAAGGAACGACAACAAAAAAGAAGATTAAATTTTTTTCATACCTGGTTGCTTAGATTAAAGGATATAATCAAGGACCATGAATTAGAAAAAGAAAAGCCAGAAGGTAGGTCATTGCGTATTAAAAAAAATTAAGGAATCTGGATAAGAAAGTGGAGAATGAATCATAATATGAGTAAAATTGAGAAAAAGTTATAAAGATTTCACTCAAGCCGAAAATCAAGGAAAATAAAAATATACAGATTTGTATGCGTAAAATAAGTGATTCAAAGTTGGTTTATTTCCATCCAAAACGGCAGCGTATAGGAGGTTCCACACCTAAGGTTGAATGTATTACAGCCTCATATTCACTTTTCTCATATATATATATATATATATATATATATATATATATATATATATATATATATAGGGTGAGGTTCAATAAAGAACCATAATTAACCAAGGAACTATTCTTTTTTTCAACTTTAAGAACTTATTTTTTATCAAAAAAAAAAACTAAAAATACAGAAATTCATAACTTTTTATCCCTTTTCCAATGATATAAAATTCGATTTTTTTTACGTCAAATTCACAATGTGAATTTTTGAAAATTCACAACGTGAATCCGGGTTCACGCGGTCTTTTGCCAAATGTCTATCCATCCTCAGCTATAAGTGCTCAAAAAGTCTTTTTTGCCAAAAAAAATCAAACAAGCCCCAAGTAAAATAAGAATCCCTTTACAGCTGCTTCTAGCATGAAAAGAAAAAGCAGGTATTTAATCTTCTGTAGCTCGAGCAAATCTGATATGCTCCAACTACTTAACCACACCAAATTGGTATCACAATTAACCACCTTCCCATAAGCAATCAGAGCTCCGACGACATTCCCACTAACAACTTGACTTTTTCCACCGCCAGGTATATACTTAGGTTGGTGGCTCCGACGACATGCAAATTGAAAATTTTTTGGACTTGTAAGTAATTAACACTATATATTAATACAATTGGCTATGGTATACATAAAAGAAAGAATATCCACAATAAAAACTATTAACCACTAAAACATATGGAATCCAAAAGTGACGTGTCCCCTGAAAAAAACTCATGACTAACACCATCTATCTCAATAGTGCTACAACCAGGCTCCTTGATTACACCCTTATCAGCCATCATCTTCCACACATAATCAACCTCATCCCACTTACAAGCCATTGCATAAACTCTTGATAAAAGCACATAAACACCACTAAACTTACCCCCTTCTTCACACTCCATAATCTTTCTTCCCATTTCTTCACTAACTTCAATTCCCACATTTTTCTTCCAACAAGCATCAAGAATACTCCTCCAAATCACCACATCGGGTTTAATTACCATTTTGGAAACCACATCTAGTGCCTCAGCAATGAGCCCGGATCTAGCCAGAAGGTCAACCAAACACCCGTAATGCTCCAAAACTGGCTCAATCCCATACTTTGTTGTCATAATGGTGAAATAGGTTTGACCCTCGTTGACCATTCCACTATGTCTACAAGCACTTAAAACCCCACTAAATGTAATGGAATTAGGGAGTATTCTTTCTTCTTCTACCATTTGTTTGAAATAGTGTAAAGCTGATTTCGCATCTCCATGCATTGCGAATCCAAGGATCATTGTGTTCCATGATGTTACATCATGTTTTGTCATTTTTTTGAACACCATTTTAGCATCTTTTAATGACCCACATTTGAAATACATATCTAGAAGACAATTATTGACTAAAACATCGTTAGCTACTTCTATGTTGCATCTTTTTAAGATATATGTATGAGCCCAGAGTCCGAGTGAGAAAGCTCCCAATCCAGCACAAGCTCGTAAGATGCTCTGGATTGTGAAACTATCTGGTTTGAAACATTGTTGCATGTTACGAAAACATGTTATTGCATTATCAAACTGGTTTAATTGCACAAGGGTGTCGATCATGACGTTCCAGGACACTACTGTTCTTTCAGGCATTTCATCGAACACGTCTCGTGCGTCCTCCAAGCTTCCACATGATCCGTAAAAATGGATTAGACTGTTGTTGATATATACATCTGATGCGAGTCCGAGTTTGAAGATATGGGCGTGTAACTGTTTGCCCTCGGAGAGGGCAAACAGATAAGCGCAAGCTTTAAGAACAAACGGGAATGTGTGCTTATCGGGGGTAACATTACCTTCTGATAGCATTTTGAGGTAGAGTAAAATGGCTTCGTGCTTACGATTGTTGCTCCGAGAACAAGCTCTAATGATGGTGTTCCAAGCGAAAGAATTTGCGTTTTGGATATGGGTTTGGAAGAACAAGGACGCGTAGTGGAGGTCGTGGAGAGATGAAAAATGGAGGATTCGACTGTGGAGGAAAAGCGTATGCGGATTAGTGGTGGAGGTGGTTCTGAGTGTCTGGGCGTGGATTTGCTTGAGCTGAGACATGGAGGTGCACTGGTTTAGTAAGTGGAGAAGACGATGGTGATGGTTGGTTGCTTGGATGTAATTATTATAGTTCGTGGTGGTTGTGGGCACCGTTGAAGAAGGTATGGTTGCAAGAACCATAATTGTGTGAAGAAACGATTTTAATGTTTAAATCTGTTGTTACAGAATGATTGTGTAAGCAAATCGAACCGGAAAATTCGAACTTACTTGTGAAGTTGCAGTAGAGAAGAGAAGATAAACAGCGAGATGGAGTGAAATCGTGAATCCTTTCACTCTTCACTCTTCAGTCGTTCAATGGACAATAGCGATAGCGATGGATTGCAGTGGATTCTCTAAGCCCACAAAGATTCCGATGGCTGGACGAATTCCTGATGAGATTGTTGGGTCGATTTAGGATTTTAGCCTTTAGGTTCCAGATTCTTCTAGTCTTTTGAGAGATAATCCCTCTAAAATCCTATCTATCATTTGGGTCTTTGTAAACAAGAGATTACAACAAAACAAAAATGGTAAAATGTATATTTTACTACAAGAGGACATGAAGAAGAGATTCTTTGGGGAAAAAAATGATGATTTAGAGCAAATGAAATTAACTCCTTGCTGTTTATAGGAAGCTTCATCTATTTAATACGAATTATTATTCTATAATCATTTATTTGAAATGTTCCCAAAATTTGTATAATCATGTACACGTTATGTTTTGGGCCTTAGTTGGATATGGGCATTAAGCAGATGTCGAATGAATCTGTGCTGCTGTGTGGGCCTACAGAAGCTATAAATATAATAGTGGCCTTCGACCTCTAGCTGATGGAGTAATGGGTGGTATTAGGATGTGTTTTGGGTCGGAACAGATCCTAAGCGTATTCGACCCAAATAACCTGAAACCCGAATTGAATGAAAGTTGGAAGCGTAACCCGGATGGATATTATATAAATATGGGACCGGTTTGGTTCGGGTAGACGAGTTTCGGTTCGGTTATTAACCTGAAATGACCGAAATAATATGTATATTATGCTTTTAAACTGAAATTACCCAAATAACTCAAATAAAAAAAATACTATATCTATTTCAAGAAAATATATATTAAACATTGATAATTCATATTCCAAAAATCCATAATTCATATTTAAACATTAAACATTAAACATCCAAAAAGTAACACATTAAATAGTAAATTAACATAATGATACTTGAGTTTTTTGACTTAGAACCAGTTATACATTACTTGAGAAAATATGAATTCATAAATCCTTAGAGACAAAAGGAAGGGACGATCTCTGCAAACAAGATGGAGGATTGACACCGGAAGAAGGGATCGAGATTGGCGAATGATTGATTGTCTAGTAGTAGAGAGGTGGGGTCGACGTCGACAAGTAGGGTTTTCTTTCCCGTTGTGAATTGTCAATAATAGAAGGAGGGGTTGGAGATTGCATTCGATAGCTTAGGTTGTAGAGTTGGAGTGCAAGGGCAATCAAGATTGAAAATATATGACCTTTCAATTTTAGTTCGGGTTTCTAGAACCGAATTAAGTTTTCTTTGGGTAAACCGACCCGAAAGACCCAAAACATGAAGTGGGCTAAAATAGATACCCGAAAACCGACCCAAATAACTTATTTGGTTCTAATTTAGGTCAGCCCGATCTGCACTTCGTTTCGATTCGGGTATTCAGTCCAAATACACATCCCTAGGTGGCATAAGGCTCCTAAGAGTGGACTGGACTAGATTGACAATTTCAACTCGCTCTTGTAAGTCTGTAACTTATGTTGTAGGTCTGTAACTTATGTTATTGCAAAAGATTATGAGATAATTATTGAACATCCTCGGTTAAATTAGTCAACAATTAAACTTGTATCGTATGTATTTATAAATCAAGATCTACTTTGTCATATATCAATCTCTTATAAGTATTGACACTCGTCAAATTTATAGTATTTTTGAAATAAATAATATCCACATGTCAATTTTTGTTTTTTTTTATCAATTTTTAAAATTAAAAAGTCACACAATACTTCAATTTATATATGTAATGTAATAAATATAATTAATGTGATAGTAAATTGCAATGAATATGTTTTTCCTTCTTTATTCTAAATCCTACTCTTAAGGACAAAAACACTAATAGTTTCCAATCTCTCAGCTCATAACACTCATCCATTTGATTCGGGAATTCAAAAATTGACATTTTGCTCCTCTATCCTTTTCAAATTATCTAAATGTTTATATCGATTTTAATAGAAACTTCTATCAATCCCCGGATTTATGGTATGTTTCAATCTTTCAAATCTTTTCCATAATTTAATTTCAATTTAATGTGTGTGTGTGTGTGTGTGT